TTGTGTGTTTTTCCATTCTTTGGGATTTGTTGCTGTGAGATAATTTATTGTCTGTGTTTTTGTTGATGTAGCCAATTTCCTTGGGTTGGAGTTTTCCTTCTAGTACTTTGTATAGGGCTGGGTTTGTGGATAGGTATTGGTTAAATCTGGTTTAGTCATAGAATATCTTATTTTGTCCTTCTATAGTAATTGAAAGTTTTGCTGGGTATAGTAGTTTTGGCTGGGATCCGTGGTGTCCTAATGTCTGCCTAACGCTTGACCACAACCTTCTGGCTTTCATTCTTTCCATTGAGAAGTCAGGTGTAGTGCTGATAGTTCTGTCTTTATATGCTACTTGGCCTTTTTCCTTTGGCGTTCTTAATATTCTTTCTTTATTCTGTATGTTTAGTGTTTTGATTATTATGTGGCAAGGGGACTTTTTTTTGATTCAGTCTATTTGGTATTTTGTGAGCTTCTTATAGCCTCATAGGCATATCTTTCTTTAAGTGGGCAAAGTTATCTTCTATGATTTTGTTAAATATATTTTCTGTGCTTTTGAGTTGGACTTCTTCTATCCTTATTATTCTTAGGTTTGATCTTTTCATGGTGTTTCCTATTTCCTGGATATTTTGTGTTAAGCTTTTGCTAGATTTAATGGTTTTTTTTTTTGACCAATAAGTCTATTTTCTCTATTGTATCTTCAGTGCTTGAGATTCTCTCTTCCATCTCTTGTGTTCATGATTGCATTTGTGGTTCCTGATCATTTTCTCATCATTTCTGTTTCTATGATTTCCTCGGCTTGCATTTTCTTTGTGTCTATTTCAGTTTTCAAGTCTTAAATAGTTTCTTTCATATGTTTGATTACTTTTTCTTGGGTTCCATTAAGGGATTTGTTAATTTCTTCCAATTTTTGGTTTGTCTTTTCCTCCATTTCTTTGAAGGAATTTTTCATTTCCTCTTTAAGGGCCTCAAACATTCTCCTAAAGTTATTTTTTAGATTACTTTCTTCTGCTTCATTTATATTTAGTTGTTCAAGTCTTGCTGGCATAAGACCACTAGTTTTTACTGGTGTCATGTTGTTGTTTGTGATGCTGTGTGTGTTCTTACCTTGTCTACCCATCTTTTCCTCTGATTGGTGTAGTTGGGCTGTCTGTGACTTTGGTGATCCATCTTCCAGGTGTCAGTGGATCCAAGGCTCAGATGGTTGCTTCCCATGGTGCAGTCAGGGCTATGGTTCCAGTCACCTCACTGGTCACTCCATGCTCCTGAAGGTCACTCAGCATGCCCAGAATTCACTCTGCAATACCATGGGTCATTTGGGCCTGCTCCCACAGAGATTGCTTGCTTGGGGCTGTTTTTGCTGAGGTTGCTCCCTTGGGCCTGCTCTGGCAGAGGTCCTGGCTCAGGCCTACTCCCTTGGTGGTTCTAGACTTGCTCCCAGACCCGCAGAGGTCTCGAGACGTAACTTTTATTAATGCTCTTCAGCTGCAGATAAAATCAGTATTATTTTGTAGCAAAGAATATCCCCACCATTGCATCTGGAGGAACTAAGAAGAAAGTTGAACACTTCTGCCTGGTGTTATGTTGCTGTTTGTGGCGCAGCTAACGTAAGTCTAAGTAGAAAGAAGGTATCACTTGAATACTTGTAGCAGGCAAAAGTTTGGGTCCCATCTTTTAAAAGACCAGACACAGAGTCAGTCATGAACTCTGGGGATCTTTCACATATGCACACTAGACACCATAGGGAAAGTCAGGGAACTATAGTCAACCACACCTAGCCACATCATAAAAAGACTGAAGCACTGGAAAACCATCTGTCTATTCTTCTTCTTCGCCGTCTTTATATACTTCTTGGCTTCATAACACTATTTACTCAGTGATTTACTTTCTTTTCTGCCTTAAGAATCAGTCTTTACCTATACTCCTCAAATTATTCCACACAATAGAAACAGAAGGAACACTGGCAAACTCTTTTTATGAGATTACAGTTACCCTAATACTGAAATCACACAAAGACTTGGCCCAGACAGAGAATTACAGACCAGTCTTCCTCATGAACATAGATGCAAAAGTACTCAATAAAATACTGACAAACCAAATCTAAGAACACATCAGAAAAATCATCCACCACGATCAAGTTAGCTTCATCCCACAGATGCAGGAATGGTTCAACATACAAAAATCTATCAATCTAATCCACCATACAAATAAACTGAAAGAAAGGGGTGAAGGAGAAAAGGGAGGAGAACTTGAAGGAACAGGATGGTCGAGATGGGGAAAGGACAGAGAGAGAGAGAGAGCAATGAAAGAGATATTTTGACTGAGGGAGCCACTATGGGGCTAGCAAGAAACTTGGCACTGGGGAGATTACCAGGATTCCACAAGTATGTACCTAGTAAGATCCTAAACAATTGTGGAGAGGGTACCTGAACTGGTCTTGCCTTTTAGTCAGATGGATGAATATCTAATTGTCATCATAGAACCTTCATCCAGCAACTGATGGAAACAGAGGCAGAACTCGACAGTGGAACACTGACCTGATTTCCCAAAGTTCAGTTGAAGAGAGGGAAGAGTGAGAACACAAGCAAAGGGGTTAAGACCATAATGGGGATACCCACTGATGCAGCTTACCTGAGCTAATAGGAACCCACTGATTTCAGCCTGACAGCAGGGGAACCAGCAAAGGACCAAACAAGGCCCTCTGAATGTGGGTGACATTTTTATGTCTGGGACAGACTATGGGACCATTGGCAGTGAGACTAGGATTTATCCCTACTGCTTGTACTGGCTTTTTGGAGCCATTCTCTTTGGAGAGATACTGTGCTCAGCCTAAATATAGTGAGGAGGGCCTTGGTTATGCCTCAAAGCAATTTGCTAGACTTTGGTGACTTCCCATGGGCAGCCTTACCCTCTCTGAAAAGTGGATGGAGGGTGTGGTGAGGGAAAGGAGAGGGAGCAGGAGGAGGGGAGAAGTGGGAACTGGGATTGGAATGTAAAATGAGAGTAAAGAAGATTGATTTAAAAAATCAGTCTTAATACCATATTCCCATATCTGAACCATACCTGGTTGCATATGGTGATTCCTCAGTAAGTCTTTGAAAAAAATCAATGAATGATCTAGAGTTTAATAAGCTTACTGATTCTTTACAAATAAGAGAGGCTCACTGAAGTATTAATGCAGCTTGGATATAAATAAAATAATATAATATATAATATAAATAAAAGAATTAATTAACCACCATAAGAATGCAATTTTGTTCAAAAAAACAGTAAGGAAGATCTCAAATTTTCATCCACTTGGAAGCCTGAAGAGATGCAGCTTCTCTTTTAACTATTTTCCCACCATGAAAACAGTCTGAGAGGTAGACAGGTAACCCCTGCAGTGTGTTTCGCCCCAACAAAAAGTCCTGGCTGATGTCTGAGCACCAACTCGATGCAGCTAAGTAACGTTGACAAAGGTAGACTTCCAAACCCCATTCTGACCTGCACAAGGAAGCCCGCAGTATTTCTTTCTGTTTTCTTTTAAAGATACTGTTGTGCGGGTAGAATGATGGTGGAACTAGGAAATGTATTAACCAATAAAAGCTATGGTCATGCATTGTCGACTGCTCTATCAGTATTTAGTCACTTGCAAAGTTTAGGGAGCCTAAGAACTGGGACCTTAGTACAGCTTCCATTAGCCTCTTAGGAGAAAATTACCACAAACTCCTCAGAAAAACAGAAGGCAACGAACCCGACGATGAACACCTTTGCCATTTGCCCTAATCTTCTTCAAATGACAAGTTTGGAAGTCAATGTGGAATGCTAATTAAAGATATAATCAATTAATTAACTAATTAGCTTAGAAATGAGTTCTTGCTTAATTGCCTAGGTTGGTCTGGGACTCTTAGATTCCAGCAATCCTCCTGCCTCCTGCTTCCTGTGGAGCTGAGATTACAGGTGCAAACCACTGTCCTTCACTCAATTCTACACAATTTTCCCCCCACCTTGGGACATGGAGCCAGAATTCCTGTGGAGCAGAACTCAAGCCCAGCTGTGAGCAGTCTGACATTTCCAGGTGATGTCATTGCCTGAAAAAAACTCATCGATCTCCTGCCTGAGCCTTGGAGCCACCCAGCTCTCTAATTTTTTTCTACACAAGATGCAGGAAGTTATCCCAGATTTCATCCTGTCGATGCTGCCTCCTGTCGTTCTTTGCAAATTTTCGCCACAGCCCTTGATACCTGTTCTCCTATCTCTCATCACTTTCCTGCTTCAGAAACAGAGAAGCAAAAGTCATTAGCATCTCTGGGAAGGAAATTGCTACCAGGACAGTTCCAGCACTGTTCAACACAGTTGCAGCTAGTGCAGAAATCCCGGGAATTACAATGCAATTGTGTTTTTAAATAATAAAATAAAATGCAATGCTACAGAACAAAAACTCACACTTCAGAATTAAACAGAAGAAATAAACATAAGGAAGAGAACAAGGGAAGGTCCAAGAAACAGAGATCCACACATTCACACGCTGAAGAATCCCACAAAAAAAAAAAAAAAAAACGCTAAACTGGGAGTCATAATACGTATGTAGTGGACCCGGTGCAGACCAGTACATCCTGTGCGTGCTGCAGTCTCTGTGAGTTCATACGAGCCTTGTTCATGCTGATTTAGAGGCCTTGTTTTCCTGGTATCTTCCATTCCCTGTCTCTGAGCCCCGAGGGAAGGGATTTGGTGGAGACATCCCATTTAGCAGAAAGCTTACCCTCTGAATAATGTCTGCCTGTGGATCTCTGTATTTGTTCCCATCTGCTTCAAGAGGAAGCTTTTCTGATGATGACTGAGCAAGGCCTTGATTATATTTACCGCACTTTAAATAAACATTAACAAAGAAAGAACAACCACAAAATGCTAACCACCTATCAAACTGGGTAGCAATGTAGCACTAAGCACAGCAACTTGGAGGCACATGGTTCCTCTAGAAATTTTCACTAAATGTTTACACTGAAAACTTTTGCAAACCAGGAAAGAAGCTATTCAGTTACCTGACTGATGTCGCTCATCCATGCAGCTTTCTCCTGGCGAGAAGGGGCCAACAGGACCACAGTGAAAGGGGCAGCATCAGGAGGCTCCACTACTATTTTAAAATCCAGATGTCCAAACATGTGGCCAGAACCTTTGGCTTCAATACACATAAACCATATGATTACATGTGAATGCAAGGAGATATGAATCATAGCTCCTCTCGTCCAGCCTCCTTCCTGGGACCCACGTGCATTCGAGCCCAGGCTCTCATTTCAACAATGTGCTTCCGGAGCACGCGGAAGGACTAGCGCATGCACTGCTGGAGAGCTGAGGGCAGAAGGCAACTCTAAGCAACTTGGCGGGTTTATGTTTCATTTCGATCATGTGTAGAAATCCTGGTTTAATTCAACCCTCCTTTCTTTTTTGCCTGCTCTTGAAAAGCCACCGTCATGAGGCAAGCTATGCAGAATATCAATTCTCAAAGGCAGTTCAACCAGGCTAGCGGGCTACACAGAGAAATGGCTCCAGAGAATCCGCCCTCAAATCGCTTCTGCCTCCATAGACAGCCCCCCTTAGCTCTGAAACACGAAGATCTACAGAATCTGGCTGTTCTAATCCTACCGCTGTCCCAAGAGATGTGCTGTCACTTACAGTCATCGTCACTTGCGTCGGGCTCCTCAATCAGCGTGCACTCTATGAGGGAGAGGACTCCACCTGTCTGGAAACAAACAGCGATGAAGGGGCAGGCAGCCTTGTGCAGACTGGGGAGTCCTGCTTTGTAAACTTAATATTCAGATTGCCGCGGATGGCAAATTCTACCTCATAAACAATTGTTCACAGAGTTCAAGACTAAGCAGAACAAATAAATTAAAACCATTCAACTTTAAATACTTCCCTCTCTCGCACTCTTGCCCCCACCACTTATAAAATTTGTTAAAGCCATCTGTGGGAGATTAGATGGCACCACAGTGACTTCAGAGAGCCACCGTGGCCCAGCAGTGCGAATTGGCCAGCCAGGAAGTATCTGAGGAACTAGAAGGCCATTGTCATGGTGTGAGTAATATTTTTAAAATTTGTTTTAGAATTTATTTACTGTGCATATGCATATGCGTGTATGAGGGGCAATGCTGTGGTACATGTGAGGAAGTCAGAAGGCAACTGGTGGGACTCTGTCCTCTTTCTACCACGTGAGTCCCGGGAACTGAACACCAATCATAGGCTTGGTGACAGGTGTTCTATCTGCTGAGCCATCTCGCTGGCCCAGGGAATAAAGGTTTACAGCAACAACAGAAGATAAATAAACAAGTTGGCAAAGTTCTCCTACGAAAGGTCAGAGAGGAAACATTTTGGGCTCTTTAGGTCACATCATTTCTATCCTGACTCCTCAGGTGTGCAACCTCAGCAGCCGTGGGCATGAGTGGTTATGTGCAAATAAAGTGTTATCACGATGAACGGGTAGTAAGCTTCAGGCCGTGGTTTGATGGCTCCGATACATAGTGAGATAAAACAGCAGTTGCCAAATATCTCACCAGCGAGTGTTCTATGGTGAACGGACAAGATATCTACAGCCCAGTGGTTGTCAAGTAATAATAATTTTGCTTAGATTTTGATTTTAATAATGCTTCTTTAGGATGATGCACACTTAAAATAAATCTCTGTTGCCTTGAATCCAGATAACAATGAAGTGAATACCAGAGCTGGTAGGCACACACTGCCCCTCCCTGCACAATTGCAATCTGCTTCATGACAAGAGCGGGCACTGGAAAGCCAGAATCAAATTAACCTCAACACCTCTTCAGCGCTGGGAAGACAAATGAAACTGCCACGGAAAACCCGTACCTTGAGCAGATGCAGCTTTCCTCCTGAACTTCTGGTGCAAATTAGAAAGTGTTTCGTAAACAAGAAGCACTGTCTCTCGCCTTCCTTTTTCAAAGATAGTGAGCCCAGACGAACTTTGCTAAGCTTCCCCCTCTCGACGGAAGGTACCTGAATAAGAGAACCTGGAGAAGGAAAGTGAAGAACAGACAGCAATTACAATCTGGCGAGGACCATGCCCTTGGCAATACACACAAGGATCTGTTCCCCCAAAATACCAAGGATGTATTTGGTGTGCCTTTGGAACAAATGGATCTCGTTCCTCTCGTCAACCGAGGAAACGTGTTGTATTTTAAGGGACAAGCTGTTCCTGGCATTGTTATGAAACAATTTCGACTCGTTTCTTCATCTATAAACTAGAACCTAAGTTTGAAAGAAGGCCAGCTTAAAATCAAAGCATTGAGAGGCTGATGCCATCTATGATCTGACTGAGTAAATTTATACATTGTATAAGTACAGATAATAATATGACAGTTTGATCAAATTAAGTCAAATTTATCCTTTCTGAAACAAATAAATAAAATAAAAAGCATATTAATATCTACTTTAAAATAGATGGTGTAATGCATGTATCCTGTAAAAATACGTCAATTTTATAATGCAGTTTAATTAAGGGCTATCTTAGAGGAAGCTATTTCACTGGATTTAAATTATGTCTATACAAAAAAACTCCATTCTGTACAATTAATATATGCTAATAAAAATAAATGCAAAGAAGTGTGATTAAAATGCATCTGTGGAACCTAAATGGAGCACAAGCCCCACCCAGAGCAAAGCTGTGCTCTGGTCAGTATGAGAAGTGAGGCATCTATGGCCATACCACCCTGACGCACCTGATCTCATCTGATCTTGGAAGCTAAGCAGGATCGGGCCTGGTTATTACTTGGATGGGAGAAGTTTTGCACAGACCTCCACAATATTTATAGACTATCTGGGAATGCCTCTAATCACCCGCAGACTGCACTCTAATAGAAATTTCCCCAGTCCTAAAAAGAAAGCTCCAATCTATTAAATATCAACCACAAAGCACCGAGATCTTTGCAAACACCTCGGTTCTAACTTCTGAAAATCACTGGAGCCAGTAATCACCGGTGTAATCCACTACACTGGTCAGCCCTATACGAACTCTCCTGAACCCACAAGAAGCACAAAGTACATAGTCAATCCTTAATGATTATCAGAGGCAGCTCTCAGAGAAACAACCTTATTGTTCTTCGTGTTTTCTGTCTTTTTAGTGGAGCCCAGATTAGCTCTATAATGAAAAGTGAGAAAAATCCTAAAGCTTTTTATATAAAGAAATATATAGCTAAGGCAATAAAACCACCAGATTAACATTAGCTAGTGAATGTTTCAAATTGCAGCTTCCCATTACCGGAGCTGGCGAGGCATCCAGGACCCAAGTTTCCATGCCCTGATCTCACATCATCTATTTGGGAGAGTGATTAGGTGGGATGCTTGACAGACAGAAAGTAGGCAGCTCATCTGGGCTTAAAGAATAGCAAGGAACCAGTCTTGGGGGAGGCTGTAGGAGTGGGGAACAAAGGGCCGAGAGGAGGCTTGACTCCAGGGAAGGGTTGGACAAGAGGGGAGTAACTGGAGGAGGTGAGGTGGGCGGGAGCAAACTGACAGACAGCTCCTGTAGCAAAGAATTAAACTTGAGAAGTCGAGGAGGTGTGGAGAAAGCAGAAGGCAGGAAGCTTAGCAAGCAACTGCAGCACAGGGTTGGAATTCATGAGACTGGGGTTTGGAATTAAACCCCCAGGCTGAGTAACTCTCCTAAGGGTGCACATAGGTGTGGATCATAGACAACTGGAACTTGAAGGCAAGGAGGGGACTAAGACACTGATGGCGCTAGCCACATCCCAGGTAGTCCTATGGAGTTCCCTTAGTCAGGGTGAGTGGAAGGGGGCCTCAGGTAAGTGTCTGTGTGGACAAATGGGTCACGGGGCCATTTCCAGAAAAGCTGAAACCAAGTCAGTGAAAACTCTGTAATGGTATGATCATTGGCAAATACTTCTAGCATTTTAAGCAATTTTCTAAGTCCAAAATTACAACATTTGTGGTTAGCATATCTATTAATGATCATTGTGAATTTCAGTTTTGTGGTTTAAAAAAGTTTCCTTGGCAACCATACACTAATAACTGTAACTACCACCAAATAGAAGCCTATCTACATTAGATGTAGACGGAAATCTACTCAACTGCAAGAGAAGCGAGAAATCTCATGACTACTTTAAAGCTAACTACTTTATAAAATAAAACGCTTCAAAACTGTGCTTTACGTTGTTTTCTCACATTCCATCTTGTGTTCGACGCATTTCAACCCGGCCGTGTGACTTTCAAAAAAGATTCCTCTCTAATCAATGCAAGTTAGACACATCTTAGGGAAATGATGGCCACAGCCTCCTTATCAGACCACTGCTGGGCTCTGTTCTTAGCATCCTGATCCCTGGGTAGCTAACAGCTGAGGTCAACCTGTGGAAGACGTCTGAGTCTTCCATCATTAATTCCCATGGGATGGCCCCCAAGATAGGCCAATGCCTCTATTCTGAACCTACTCTGCAGTGAAACTATGAACAGCAATATTCGGATGGGTGATCTTGGTGTCTGAGATGGTAGAGCCACTGTGCTTTGGGCTGTACTTTCTTACTCTGAGGAGACCTTACTGAGTAACAGGGTGATTCATTTTTTTTCCTGGAAATCATAAAGTTGAAAGTGCATGTGTACAGATGCGAGTATGTATAGATTGAAATGGAGCTTCTACTGCCCCTCAGAATGATTAACAAAAATACTAGCCCACCATTAAAAATCAATTGCAGTCAATTTAGTAGGAAATAAAAACCCTTGATAGTTTAATGAATAATACTCTTATAGTGTGTTTTATGGGTATTAAAGCCTGTTGAGACTAGTAAACGTGCTAATAGGAGAAACTGAAGAAAAAAATAAAAAATTTCCCATTATAATTGATAATTTTATAATTTTAGATTAAGTTCTGATATTTAGAAACAACCTTTATTAAATAATTCCTAAATAGACTAACCAGATCAAACACACAGCAAGAGCAGCAAGACACTGTGAAGTAACTTACCACATTGACATTGCTGTAACAGTAACATTTTGGGCAATCATGGCTGACCCTGCCTAAGATGTAACATATAGCAGAACGGATAATGTATGGATGTGGCTTCAAGCGTGAAGCAGTATATGACTTTTACTTCTTAAAATGTAACCAAAAAGGTGTGACTTGTTCAATGCATTTGACTCCCCAAACACATTTTATTATTCATGGGTTTTTTCAGATTCACAAGGACCTACTTTTATAAATGCATTGAGTGCATGTGGCTAATAACCCTGTTCAATCAAAAGTATATAGTTCAGAAATCGTATGTGAGTTACAGAAGGTCTCTTGTCCATGGTTAGTTAAAAAGTACAGGTCGATTAGGAGACATTTTCAGAGAACTCTAAGTACAAGAAAAATACAAAATAAATGTCTTACAACTTCAATCAAATAAATTTATTCAGTCTGCCTCAACGTATCCTTTCCCAGTAGCTTTAATAGACAAAGGGAGGCAAAGAGAATTCAGGGATGCTACCTCTCAGAGCTTGTGGTTACCAGGGCAGAGAGGCATGCAGATAGATATCTTCACACAGGACAAAACCCATGCTTCATGAGGAAAATGCCTTGACAATGAAGAAGATAGATAGACAATTCATTAGTTAATTCGTTGTAACTTGAGGCAAAGTGGATGGGAAGAAGAGAAAACTTCAGAAGACTTCTTATCTGTCCTGGAGTTGTTAGGTCAAGTAGACCTTTCATAGGCACAAAAGAGGCAGAGTAGGTCTTTCCCACTCCCCAGTAGGGGAGACACAGGTAAAGGCCCAGGAAGGCAATGTACCTTGAGGCAGAGAGTCAGCCACCATGGGGACCCAGTCCACACAGAGGAACAGGACAGGAACTGGAAAGGTCTGGCGTTGTTGGCATTGTATTCTACTGTCACCTTAAGGAAAGTTGGTGTGTAGTGTCAAGAATGGGAAATGGAATAATCCCTGAAATATACTTCCCAAATTTAGTAGATGTGTAGTGTCTCTTCATGTAAATAAACAACAGAAGATAGAATGGCATGTTCCAATTTATGGAAGTATTCTAGGCAAAAAAAAAAATAATGTGGACTGCATAATGTCTTATTTGATGAGGCAACCATATTTTAAGGAGAATGTTATGGAAGGAAACAGTAATAGCTTCAAATGATATGGGCACACTATGACCAGAAGCAGCACTAAAGATGAATTCAAGTTCCAAGTTTATGTTTCAATCCGCGGCAATTCCCAAACTATAAAGATGTACAGCAGAGCATGCCGGTGACTCAGACCCAGCATGTGAAGCATGCTCTCCTTCCCCAGGCACCGGAGCATTTGAGAGCATTTGGGATGTGGCTAACTTCTTGTGCTTTGAAATAAGAGCTGAGGAGGAATGTGCGTCACCAGGCTGGTCCCTCTCCAACATCTGTGACACAACTTCATGTCTCCTGATGCTTAACTGATCAGGTATTGCCCCTCACAGAGCGCACACCACACACGGGATAGCTTCCCCAGCTCCAAAGCCGGTCAGGGACCTTTCCACCTGGTAACTGGAGTTACTGACTGAATTAAATCAGAAGTGCCAATGAGAAAAGGCAACTGGAGACAGCTGCATTCACTTCGGACATTGTCTCTACTCTTATGGGCTCGGGCTTTGAGGAACTCTGGTTTCTCCTGAGCCTTTGCCTGGACAGCATCACCATCTGGCATTGCCATTCTGACTGGCCAGACAGACCTGTCCTCCTTGGAGCTGTAGAGAACGTCCGGTTCGTTGAGGAGGGGCGTCCAGCCAGAGTGTGATTTACTGCCCCTCTCATGCTTAACTCTTATTGCGTTGCTGTTTTTCATGGCCCCTGAAAAGAAATAGCGCAGAGGTGGGCCTCAACCACAGCCCTGGTCAAGGCCCCAGGGATCTCCTGCACTGACGGCAAACACATAGGCCTGCTCCAGAGCACGCCCCCGGAATCTGCCAGCGATAACTATGACAGGAACCGATCACGTGAGTAGAGGGTCAGATCAACAGGTCTTACCTTGGCGGATGAAAGTCTGGCTGGTGTCCAGCAAAATGTCACAACCTTCCACTATCATCCTTTCAATGGCAAGGTTTTTCCTGATGTTCTCAGTGTCGCTGACTTCGTCATGCATGATTCTATGGGACACAATGCAGAGAACATCACAGTCAGAAACTTTAGCTCTGGCTCTAGCCGATAGGCAAAGATGGCGCCACCTCACATGCTTGAAATTTAACCAAGAGAGTGAGGGAAGACTGACCTCCAGCTTCAGCCAGCCACAGCCTAAAGCAAGGCCACAGTGTGTGAGCAGATTGCAAAAGGTAAGGGGACCAGCGATCAGGGAGTGGCAAGGCTTGCTTTGAGTGCGACAGGAAAGAGACCCAGCATTTTACAGATGACTCCCTTGGTTAATGCTGAAGTGTCACCTTCAACATTAGAGGCACTAAGATAGAGACTGTTACTCTACTTGTCACACTTAATCTCAATAGCATTGGGGGCAGCCTGGCCATTCACCCGCTTCTTGCAAAATCTGAATACAAAAATGCAACAGAAAGTCATTTTTTTTCTATTTTGATGGAAAAATAAAAGAAGTGAACATTTGCAAACTTAACCAAACTTTACCTGATCTCAGCTATACAAACTCACATACTATGAGAACTTTTCAAAGGTGTCTTGTCTTGACTAAAATGAACGTGAATAGTGATTCGGTGCCATCTCTTACACTCTAAGATGAATCTAAGAAGTTGGAGCTACCATTGGCATTTCCTCTCTTGAAAGCCACATGCCACCGGGTTTATCTGGGGGGCAACCATGCTGTTTCTTTCCAGTCTGACCCCTTCCCACAAGTTCCCTGCATACCTGGACAGTTCCTCCAGCTTTGACTTAGCAAACTCTAGGCTTTTCCTCTCCACGTGTTCATGGGGGGTGTGAGCCAGGAGTTCGTGCAGAGTGATGATATACCTGGGGATCTAAATACATACACAGGTGAGTGTGAAAAAGAGGTCCAGACAGATGGCATGGGGCACACTCTACTGGGACATCACCCTCAGAGAAGCTCACCCCTACTCTTATAATTCTAAAGGTTCTCAAGATTTTCTAGGGATACATATAGATTGAACTGAGCTTCAAACCTTACACACCAGAAAAGTCTATAACAAAAATGCAAGAAAAGTTTGTCATAAACGAATAAACTGAGTATAAAGGAGCCATTGTTTCCATTTGCAAGTAAGTGTGCATGTTTGAAGCAGAGCTTCTGCAGACTGGGTCATGGGGAAGCAGATATTGCTGTCATTAGTCACCTGAGTCTCTTGCTAAAGGTCTGCTGTCTGCTTACACGCTCGTTTAAAAACAGACAGACCTGACCACACTCTCTTTAACACCTAAATCCAGCAGGACATGTTCGCCTGTATTGACATTCTGATCCTATTTCTTCTCACTTCAAATGTCATTTAACTAGGTTATTTATTTAATTCTGCAAAAGGCAAAACTCCACCAGCCATATGAGACTTTTAGTAAACCAAAGAGACTTAACGCAAGTTATAGACTCAACATATTTTTCTCTCCTTTGTGCTCCTAAAACAGCCTCCTGGAAAGCAGGGAAGTAGACTTCAGAAAGACGTGTGTGGGCAACCAACTCCAACATTCCACTTTCTGTGGGCCCAGGAGAACTCTGAGCTCTGTGGACATGTCCACTCCTCCAGCAACATAAAAATTGGTTCTCCACTTGCCAAGAAAGGAAAGAAACTGCAGGGAGGTCCAGTAACTTATCTAGGGTAGACCTTAGGACAGAAAAGCGGCTTCCCAGAGCTCTGTGTGTAGCTCGTCCCTTCTGTCTTAGCACTGGTGACCCTATCTGTGGATGAGTCTTTGCTGTCCACTTGTGGGATCATCGTGGGGCTATTTTCTCTTCACTCACGGGTGCCTCCTTTATGCACTTAAACAGGCAACAGCCAATATTAGCACCGACATTAACTGTAGCTCAAAAGTGGAATCAAGGTCTCAGGAAACACAGGCAGATCCCATGGTGAGGGAACGGCAGGAAATAAGAGACCTTCTCACTGCAGGAGAGATGAAGGAAGATTTCTATGAACTTCTTACCAAAGCATCCTCTGATACCATATCACATGGAAAAGACTCCCAGGATACAGGTGCTTACACTCCCACAATCCCACGATGGCTAAAACTACACTAAAAGTTAGTACTTCCACAGAAAAATCAAGCCATCAACTGCTAATATTCTCATTTTTTCCTAACGAATCCGGAGTGGGTGGGCCTCACTACTTACTATGCACTGAAACCCCACAAAACTATGTTTAGTAGATGGCTTCATGCTCCTCCTCCATTAGCTAAATCTATTTTAAAGAGTCCTTTGGCTAAGGTTCAAGAGGATGGAGCTGAATTCGGTAACTGGCCCCTTCCACTTTCCGGTCCAGGAATGAATAAATGCTAGCTCCGGCTGAGAGCAGGCAAGGGAGGCTCGGCTAAGAAGTGAGCGACTGCAAAGAGCTTCTCGCTGGAGTCAAGAGCTTGCTGCAGAGAGTTCCAGAAAACATTAGCAGCCTCAGCAGCTATCGAAACGAATCAGATTTCTACTTTCAATAAAGGAACAAATACTCGTCCCTGCCCAGACTCTAATTAGCTTGTTCTCCTGTTTTGGTTAGTAGCTAGCTAGAGCAGTGAGCGCCTCCTCCCTAGAGCACATCCTCTAGAATCGTTCTTGGAAGGCGCAGACGTCATGACTGGTTCACCTGTGGACTCTCAACACACGCACATCCAGATAAGCAGACAAGCTCCTGGAGACCGCTCGAACAGCACCAAATGCTACCAACTGAGCCACTGTGTTTGCTAAATAAAATCTTAATGACTCTGTTATTTCTGTAACAAATTGCCTGGTAACAATAAGACTTACTAGTTCTAGCTGAATCATCCCAAGTCTACAATTCCCACTGTTTTCATAGTTCAAAGCAGCAACTGACTTAACAAAAGCCCCAAAAAAGCTGGGCATGGAGACCAGAAGCAGAGTAATTGTTTTGTATAGGGTCTTGGGTTAAAATTCTGTAACAAAAAGGGGGCATGACTCTGTCACCTTCTGTCTCCCATCATGCACAAGCTACAGGATAAAAGCTTCCGATTCTAATCTCTTCCTATCCCTCCTTCTGGCCAGGCGCCAGCTTCTGCCTGCATATTAAGCCCATGTAAATGTCTGGGCCAGAGATCCACTGGCAATGTAAAGGAGATTCACATCTTCCACAGTTGCAGGGATCATGGGTGGGAGGAGTATGTCCAGCACTACCAAGGAGCAAGGCCAAAGCTTGGAAGGACCTATGGCTTCTCAGTATTTGCAAGGGAAGAAGCTACATCCCAGATCCTCTGAGAGTGCAAACACCCTCATGTTGACTTCACCCATTAGTAAGGGACCATGAAGAGAAGAAAGACAAGGACTGGATGAGCCCAAGAAGAAAAACCTTCAAGTTTCTAGGAAGAGTACTTCCTTCTAGTTTTTCAGACGGTTTCTCCTCGGGGAGACCTGTCGTGGACCAGCCTTGACAAAAACCCCTCTTATCAGGGTAGGTGCGTGGGGAACTAGAAATATAAGTAAAGAATATGAAGATGCATGAATATAATAAAAACAGAAACCATAGAAAGTACCAGGAGGACATTCCAGTGAGGAAGCCAAAGGGCAGACCCCAAGAAAACCAAGGTCCATGGGCAGCAATCTCCAATAATTTCTCTTCTTGGATTATTCAAAATCATTTTCATTTGTTTATTCCTTGAAATTGGGATAATTCTGACTGAATTCTCTAAGTCTGAATATTCTTCTAGACAAATGGGCCTCAAAAGCTTTGAGTTAGCTCACCAGAGAAGAAGTCAAAGACCATCACTATCTGATCCTTCAACTCAGTTTTGGGACTTAGAGCTATCACAGTCTGGAGCTGAGGAGGAGGTTCTAGGTCACCCTAGACTCCTCACAATATGGCATGGTTTCCCAGCCTGAACGTCCACACACCCAGGATCACAGCCAGAGATCTGAAGATCAGCAGAGCTCAGCTGCCCCTATCAGAGCATAGTGACACTGTCACGGAGAGAGAAGGCCAAGTGAGACGTCAGGTCTCATCAAGACTCCAAGCTCTGTTGGCGGTGATGGTGCACACCTTTAATCCCAGCACTTGGGAGGCAGAAGCAGGCAGATCTCTGTGAGTTCGAGGCCAGCCTGGTCTACAAGAGCTAGTTCTTGGACAGTTAAGACTGTTACATAGAGAAACCTTGTCTTGAAAACCCTTCCAAAAAAAAAAGACTCCCAGCTCCATGCTCTTCTCTGACATGATGGGATACCTCCAAGTGAGTCAAAATGTTTAGTCGTGGCTACTGCATTGACAGGCCTTGTCAATGATACAAATAAAGTTCCTCCAATTTAAAACCCTGAGGAGATCACAACTAAGTGGAATTAAAAAGCACATGGAAGAAACATTGAGCGGAGGGAGCTTCGTGTGCTTTAAACTATTATACCTTTGCCCCCACCTGACCTGTGACTGCTGGTGGATGTGGTTTGGGGTACTGAACCCTAGCCTAGAGGTCACTGCTGAAAACGCAAATAGCATCACAGAAGAGGAACATAGTTGTGAGGCACTTCACTGTCCCTAAAACCTGAAATTCCATCTCTGTGCATACAGTAAAATAAAAGCTTGTTGTTTTCTTGAGAAATATTTCCTCAGTGAGGCAAAGAGTTCAATCAAAATAGTTACATTATATATATATATGTGTGTGTATGCATGTATACATATGTATATATATACACACAATATATATGTGTGTGCGTATATACATATATATACAATATATATGTGTGTGTATACCTATGGATATATATACCTATATGTGTGTGTATGTTATAGTTATGAAGTTCCACTACTCTTAAGTGTTTTCAAAGGCAGCCTTTTGTTTTTTAAGATCTTACTGAACTACCATGGCCACTTCCAAGGTTCCGAGTAGCACCGACAAACTTTAAGACAAACAATTACGGACCACAGAAATGTTTCCCCCTGTGACTCCAGAATGGTTATCCAGGGTCACTGCTGCCTGCCCACAGGACCAAGTGCTCCCCAGTCGCTGCAACTCATGTGATCAGAAGGATCATTTTACCTCATGACAATTTGGAGGCCTCGTCAAAAGCCCCATAAATTCCACAACAGGAACACTCAATGCTTCTTCAAAAGAACAGAGCCCACAGCTTCCAAAAGAACAGGAGACTCTGTGCCCATTCTGTGCTCTGTGGGGCTCCCTCAAGACTGGGTACTTCATGGGAAAGTCCCAAAGGCATGAAAGAACACACATGCATTTCATCTTGTGGGGCTCCCTTGTCCCCAAGAACAAACATCAGTGTATAGCCTTTCCTGAGAAGAGCCACATGACCAGGTCCCCACAACACCCAGGTCTAGCCAGCGCCTTCTAGCTCTGAGGTCTCCAGAGCCTGTGGGATTAAGAAGGCCTTGTTTTGTTCTCCAAAGTTCCAGCCAAGAGAAACTCAACAGTAACCCTGCTGCAGCAGGAGAGGGGTTGAAAACGGATACGTCCCAGCAGCCACCCCAGTCCCGGAGAACCTTTTATGCAACCAGCACAAACTGGTGCATCTGCACAGAATCCTATTTCTGTGCGCCTAATAATATTTTTAAACATGCTGGAGGTGGAGACTCCATGAAAGAGATTTGTGTGGAATCATTCTATAAAAGAAATTACTGCTCCCAAAAAGTCATCCCTCAATTATTTGCCTCAAAAAATGTTTTCCAGGCTGGAGATGTAGCTCATTGGTAGAGTTCTTGCATAGAATGCTCAAAGCCCTGGGTTCAATCCCCAGCACTAGAAAAATGCCAAAATTCCATTTTGTTCTATACACTAATTGGTGGCATATAGTTGGTAGCACTGAGCTAGAACCAAAGCCTTAGAAGTCTCATCCCAAGTGGCTTACCTGAAACATTGGGTAGGTCAAGAATGTCTCCAGCATCCTCCCCTCACAGGCAGGATTGGCTTCATACTGTTTTAAGAGCTTGTCAAAATCTCTGTTTTGTTTACAGTTGGCAAGTACTTGGAGGCTGTACTGATGATTACGCACAAATTCTTGATAAATGTTCAGCATGGGCAGCAAAATATCAAACAGATCAGCTGCAAAAGAGAAGGCAGCATGGCTATTTGGTGCCTGGAGTGTCACCACGAAAAGTACCGCCTAGTACCATAGGACTCAGGCCCTAGTTACCTGCCTGGAGGACAAATTGGGTAGAATCTGCCCTGCATGATAATGTGACTCCAGTTCCACATGAATTATGATAGACCAAGGGAAAACATCAACAGATACCTACTGAGACATGGCCCAGGACAGCAAGACGAGTCCCAGTGTCAGAGGGAACCCATAGGATAACAGCGAAGTTTAGACATCCAAGGCTGATTAACACATACTATACCCTAACACTAGCCAATCAACAGGGATTTATATCCTTAAAGAGCGGCTTACCTAAAACCAAAGTAGGCCAATTTGCCAGCCTTGCCTTTAGTCCTTGATGGAATATTTCATGAAGGAACATGATTGTTTCACTATAAAAAAGGAAAAACAATACCATTCAGTAACTATAATGTATCGTTTCTGTGAGAAGCCCAACAAATGCTTAAAGTCTTATAATCTATATACATGATACACCAGTCTCATAAGGACTCCATAACATCATGGACTATGTACCTGCCTCCATATGATATCTCTTTTAGCCTCAGAAACCCAAAGGAAATCAAGATGAACCCCAAAGTCAGGAGGACAGGATGCTCCCAATCTGCTTCCGTTTCACCTGTATGGTCCTATGCTCCTAAATTCAACATTCCAAGGAGATCTTTCCTCCTCCAGCTCTTCTGACGAATTCTAAGGAAAGGAATTTTCTAGTAAGAGGGCAGCTGCTCTTTCCTGCAATGAACCCTAGTCAACTGATGCATTCATTCCCCTCTGTATTTTGATACCCGAGTTAGAAAACAAGTGAAACAAATGCTGTACATAATTGGGAAAATTACATTTTCTTAAGTATGAGCTCTGCTGAAATTCAAGATAATTGGCCAGCCTAGGCTTCACTTCAGAGACAAGGGAACCCAGTTAAACAGCAGCCATGACAGCAAGCACCCTGTGTGGCTACCCATTTCAAACGTACCTCTTCAATTCTCCATCTAGAACTAGGGGGCGCTAACAAGCTGGGTTGTATGAAGAGTTCACAGTCTGAGCTTCCAATCAAGAGGCCTACCATTCACATTCTAAATGCCAGCAGTGTTTTGGCCATTCATGATCTAGATCAAGAAGTCTTATGGAAGCACATCATTAGGGCAGCCAAAAACCCAGGGCCACACGCTTGGATGGACACTACCAGAGAGAACAGCTCACAGTCTCCTCCACGGCCTTATCCACACATGCTTGAACAATTTCCAGAATGCTAACAGCCCTGCCTGAAGAAGGCAGTGTGAGACAGCAGCTTTAAAGAGGCCCTCCCGTTGTTTTGACTTTTGAATCATATCAATATATTATCTACTCAAAAACAAATACATAATTAGAATTTAAGCAAAACACACAAGCCTTTCTCCCTCCACGTCTTCCTCTGCTTCATTTTTCCACAGCACTGATCGCTGGATAATATGATACATATTTTCATTCATTTGCTGTCCACTTCTGTTCTCACATCAAAAAATATAAATGTCATGAAGGCAGGGAGTTTCTGCTCTGTCCACTAAATGATCTTCGCCACAAAGGGCACTACAAATACTCACTGCAGAAATAAATTCCACAAGGATTCTCGAGCCATCTTAGTTGGTATGTTTTCTAAAAGGCTTCTGTGTAAATTGCACACAAAGTCCCATCAATCACTCCATCTCCTGCAGCTTGGAAGAGAAAATATCTTCCACACATACATACCCCCACACAGTAACAAGAACACAAATGTCAAACGAAGATGCAAACCGAAAACGTGAGATGTCAAGACTCAAGAGAAATGCAAACGCAGACTAACAACACCATTCCAGGATCGCATCCTTCCTCTTAACCTGAGAACCACGCAGATGGATCTGCAAGACCTCATCTTCTCAGCCTGAAACAGGGACGTTTCAAGACACACCTGTTGAGAAAGATGCTGCTGACATCATCATGGCTAATGGGGGGCTTCTTGGAGCTGGCTGCCATCCGCAGGGGCCGGAGGAAACCATTGACCAGGATGTAGAGCTGGTGCACGTACTCCGTCTCGGCTTCCACCATGGTGAACACAATCTGGTTTCTCTTCCTCATGCTCTCAGCATGGGGAGAACAAATGTAATCCTGCACAATGGTCTTCCACTTCCTCCTACACAGCCATCCCCGCATGAAGCTCTGAACCTACAGAACGAGGAAGGGAAGGAGTCTGGGAGATGAGGCAGTACATGTATAAACACCATCCTTTGAACGGTCCGTTGACACTTTCTTCAGTACTATAAACAATGGAAATATTCACAAAATAGCGGGGGGGGATGATTTTAAAAAGTTTTCCTGAGGTTCACAAATTTCTACGATAGCTTAAATGCATTAGGCTTATTCATATAGACACTAGAATATACTACTACTTAGCTAGTAATACTTCAAGACTTGGGTAATGTATTTAAATAATATAGCTAAAGGTTTCTTTTTAATAATAAAGAATCCTATATATTTTTATTTATGGTAAAAAGTAACATAAAATTTGTCAACTTAATAATTTTTTAGGTGCAAAAGATTGAACCCAAGGTCTTATGCATACTAGACAGGTACCCACAATTGAGCTCCAGAACCACCTTTTAGAAAAATATTTCTTGTTTGTTTGTGTGTGTGTGTGTGTGTGTGTGTGTCTATGTACATTCATCATGTATGTGCAGGAGCCATGAAAACCAAGAGAGGGCATTGGATCCCCTGGAATTGGAGTTACAGATGGTTGTAATCCACCATATGGGTGTTAAGAACCAATCCTGGTCCTCTGCAGGAACTGACTAATGTCATTTACTAAAATGCCTTCAAGGTTCACCCATGTCGAAGTATGTCTCAGGATGGCTGTACTTTTTAAGGATAAGTGACATACCATCACACATTTATCCTCCTCATCTCTACTGGGGATAATGGCTGATTCCATCCTGTAGCTGTTATGAATAGTATGCTGTGAACATGGCTATGACAATATCTCCTCAAAATCCAGATCTTGTTGCTATTTCTTTAGAAATATACCCAGGAATGGAATTACTGGAAAATGAGGTATTGAATTTCATCAAAAACTATTTACCATATTACAATCCACATAGCACAATTGTACACAATTTCTCCATACCCTTGCCAAAATGTGTCATGGTCTTCCTGTTTTGGTTTGCAGTAGCTGTCCTAGTGGGTGTGAGGTTCGGTCTCATTGTGGCTTTGATTTTTCTCTTCTCCAGCGATTGGTGACCTTTTCATGTGCTTGTTGATTACTGGCAAAACATCTAAATAGTGGTCTATTCAAGTACTCTGCCCAATTTAAGCCAGCTGATTTGATTTTTTTATTGATGCTGAACTTTGTTTTGCTTTGCTTATTTAAGCCTAAAAAGTAAGTGTTGAAATTGGCTCATCTAATAACTCCTACAAATGAGCAATCTGAGGTTTCAGACTATCTACATAGCTGGAAAAGCTGCAAGCAGAGCCAACGTCCTTTTGTGAATCTTTCCTTAACCGCTTATCCATGACTGGGCAAGACATATATTAGTCTTTGCAATGATGAGTAACTTTTAAAGAATAAATTAATATAAAATGTTCATAGAAATATCATACAGTTTTTTAAAATGGATCTGAAATTCCTGGGCATGATAGGAAAAGGAGCAAATCTGGAAAAGTGCACTAGTTTGTATGGTTTGGCCGGTCAACAAACATGAGCAACTCCTAACTTCCCAGGTAACTGAAACCCTGGGGAAACAGCTGTATATCAGAATCCTTCACTCAAAGGCTATGCTGTTAACCCACAGGGCGGCCTTGAATTCCAATCCTGTTTTCTCAGAATGGACCTAAAACTAAGAAGTCCTTTTTAAATGTAAACATTACTGGATAAGTAACGCTATGGCCCTTTGGAGTTGGCAGACTCAGCAGGAGGCATATTTCAGGTTCAGACATTCACATAAGCTTCAATCCCTTACCTGATCCCCTTCATACAACCCTTATCTATTCATCATCCCTTTTCAATATTTCCTTCATCCGTGTGATATAAATTACCATGCATTTGATTTTAGGACACTTGAGATATTGCCGTGTGCTTTCTAATTTTGACACCGCTGCATCGGTTTCTGTACGGCTGTTAAGACTGATACACTCAAACAATGGAAACTAAGCAGATTTCAGTAGAATTATATAAAGAAGTTCTGTGCATACTATTTTGAGAATTCTAAAGAACATTTTTTTGTGAATTATAAGCAATTTGGGGTTGTGATCTCTTGAAGCTAAAAGGCTACATTTTGCCAAGATTAGAGAAGATAAGAGGTTTGTGTGTAAACAGCCTTTCCACAGACATTTATTTGATTTAGGACATAAAATTATTAAGTTAATTTTGAAATCTATTAGCACGTTGAAAACAGGTGGTTTAAAATTGCTTCTTTGGAGAATCACAAAGGTTCAAAACTGTACATTTTTCTCTTTATTATTCTCTTATTTAATAGAAATAGGTTTAGAAAACTCAACTCAATTAAAATTTGTGTTAAGTAAAATCTTTCTCCTCACTTTGGCAGATGTTCCCTGATGAACAATAGCTGCCCCACTTACTAACAGATCGGCCCCTCCTGTATGGATGACAATTGGATATTATTAATATCCTTGTTTACATGCAACTGCATGCTATTAAAAGAAAAGCTCCGCATTAGTCTTGAAATACATTTTCATAAACCAGGTTCAAATAAACAGTTATAATGCTAGGAAAACAATAGCTTTATTTTACTTTTTTATTTCCTGAAAATGTTCAACTCAACCCAGGGAGAATCTGTTCCAAATTCTGAGAAATATTTGGTTAAAGTTTTTTTATAGCTAGCAGGGAATAATTATTTAATATAGAATTATAATTTCTTCCCAACTATGAATGCGACAAAATCAGGAGTTTCAACAGCGCTGCATTAACCCAATAGAGGACATTGCTGTGTAAATGTGTGTTTGAGGCCTTCTTCCCAGCACTAGAAAGGGAAGTTTTAGGACTGGAAAGAAATTCCAGGCTGAATTTTTCCAGACCAGCATCAATTCTAATGAAGGGACAGTCTGGGAGGCATTAGCAGAAACACCTAGGCTGTCCCCAGCTCAGGGACACAATAACAAAGTCACCATCACAGAGTAGACAACTGGTCACTGTGCTTCCTGAAGCCCCCCCCCCCCCCACACACACACCTCTTACCTTTTTAATCTTCTTGATGTCAGGATCCTCATCCTCTTGATGGCTGTGGTAAGGGCGCATCCGCTCCTTGGTTTTATTAAGAGCAACAATCTGTAAGACAGAACAGGCGCAATTCAGGAACCGGGGAATAGAGGTATACAACCATGCTACAGAAGTGCTAGCCACAAAGACAGCAGGAACCATCACGGCGTATGCCATCTCCTTAGCTGGTGCTCTGATACAAAAAACATGAGTCTTACTCCAAGCCTGGGGTTTCAGGTGTTGACAGGAAGTGCACCACAGAGTGTGACCTGATGTCTGCCTTAAGAGAAATTTGAGTCCAGAGCTTATCCCTGATAGCCTCAGGACCCTGCCCAAAGGGTAGATGCCATGAAGTCCTATGGTCTCTAAAGACAGAAACGCTCAACTTAAAGCCCTTGTAAGCAGCCTCTGGCCTTTGAAGTGAGTGTCTCACTATCCTTGTGCATCTCCTAGGGAAAATGGTAGCTACCATGGCAACCTAAAAGTCTCGGGGTTGATTAAAGCCAGCTGCAAAGGACTATGTCAAAGAAGCAGAGACTGTAATAAGAGGGTCTTTCCATATACATCTAGTCCCTGTGAGCTGCAGGAGGATTTAAGAGTGGGTGGCCTCTGCTCACAGCACCACGGTTCACTAGTTCAGCCTCAGCTGTGCTTCACACAAGCCTAAGAGGTTAAACAGAATCTCTGAGAAGTCAAAACTTAAAAGGTCAGAAGATCACAATTGCCCCCCATCACCACTACTGGTGACCTGTCTTTGGATCTTGTCCCCCAAATTAAGTAAATGCACTCCACTTCCATTTCCTAGGAGAGAATGGGAAGATAATGAAAAAGGAAATAATTCCTGTCAAGCGACCACAAAAGACTACAAAAAACAAAAAAAACAAAAAAAAAAAAAAAACCTTGGCAACGTCTCACTGCAATTTATATTCCAACCAAAGCAGAGCATGACGAAGACAGATAAACACACACAAGTAAATCCTAGAGAGCCCTGCTTGGTGCTGAGCTACTCTCATGGTGCAAATACCAACCTGCTTCTCTCAGTAAACAGGCATCTGCTCTGCAGTACCGGGACAAAGGAAGAACACAATAATTTTGTTTTAAATTACAGTGCCTGATATAGCCTTTTCAAACGCAGGTTTGCTAAGTTTTCCACTGTACCGACTATCAGGGTTGCACAGAGGAGGCTGGTGAGTCTAATGATATGGTGAATATACTGGGCAATTCAGCTTTCACAGAAGAGTTCTCATCTCCATGCTTTGAGCCAGATACATTGAGTACCATACTCTCAGTGTAGCTGGGAGCAGGAGGTGGAACCTATACAGCCGTCCCAGTGAGCCTCGCGGAGGTGTAAGACAATGATAAGGAAATGTTTGCAAGGAAAAAATAGCAAGAGAGTTGTCAAAGCTAAGGAGCCTGCCAACAAGAGCTATGACTGCCACCTTTGGCATATACCACATACCACACCCATGTCCATTAGACCTAAGAGACACCAGTGCACCTCTGGTTAGAATAGAGAGGACAAGCTAGTCTCTACATTCCTCCTCCATTCTTCAGCTACTGCTTATTTTCTGTGAGCACCCACAAGACAGCCTAGAAGGTCTCTGCATAGACTGAGACCTAGGGTCAGAAGGAAAACCCAAGTACAACACCATAGCCAGCACCATATGGCTATGGACTCAAAGACCACCTCCTCCATCCCGTAACAGTAACACTATCCTGAGCATCACTACAAGTGCACATTTACAGAATAGGGGCCAAGGGAAACCCAGGAATGCCCCATAGTCAATCAGTGCCTTCTTGTTTATCCCAAGTGTGCTTTTCAGAATTCTGCACGGGGAAAGCTAGAAGAAAAGTATTTCAGAATTCCTATCTGGTCTTTCCTTAGTTATCATTATGAACTTTACGTTATCCCATGGCAGACTCACAGATGTTACTCCAAGAGTCTATCTGATGACTAGTGTGTGTGCGTGTGCGTGCATGTGTGTGTGCACGCGTGCATGTGTGTGCTTCTTAGCTAACTAAGGACATTAGGGGCACATATAACAGCAGAAGGTAGCATGTTTATCATGGTGGTAAAGTAGCAGCACATTTAGCTAACCCCGAAGCAGACAACAGATTCAGGTCTAGATCAGCAGCCCAGCCATATATCTGTTGATAGCAGAGGAACTCAGCATGGGATTACATTTTTCTCCTGAATATTAGACAGACAATCACGAGGAAGTGACAGAAGACAAGAAACAATGCGACAGAATCTTCAGCTGGGAAATACCTCTGATTTAAGCCTTTCAATTTCGGTGTCTTGATCTTCAAGCTGGTGTCGGAGTTGGTTAGCAGCAATTTTTTCTGTCTCCACAATCTGAACCAGATGAATGTACTTCTGCATTAACACTTCCCTTTCAATCAATATGTCCGCGTAACTTAAGAGAAAATTGCACAGTTAGTCACTGGAGTGTTGCTCTACCCCAGTTTCACACAGCACAGGGCTTACATGTTTGTAAAGGGACCCATGCACGTTGTTGGCTAGCTCTGCCTTACACATTAACCTACACCATACAGTTGGCATCTTGATAATATAGAATTTCAGTATTTATTATTTTACATATTCTCCAACTAAGAATCAATTTAATGTTGGCTGTCACCCACAGTTTTAATATGACTATGAGAAAAAAATGCAAAAAAAATTTTGAAAGATTTTAATATGAAAAGATATGCCTTCTTTAAGGAAGTCAATGAATTGTTTTTGAATTAATGCCATAGGTCTTCAAGGATAGTATTCAAAGTGTTGCACAGGGTAGAACATTCACCAGTAAAACTGACTTCTCCCAACAAGAGTAAGGCAACCCCGAAACACGGTCTGTTCAGGAAGAGACCGCCAGTTCTGTGGGGGTCTCTGTGGGGTCCAAACCACCCACTACTCTGCTCTGAAATTGACCAGAAGTTACACACGTGACAGAGAAAGTTAAACTCTTTGGGCAGTGTTACTTACATCCATTTCTTCAGCTAATCATAACAGAGAGAAAATCTGTTCTTAATTTTTACTAATAATACAATATAGAGGTGCCTGGACTATGATACAATGTCAAAGTACTTGGAATACGATGCAACATCAAGCTGCCTGGAAGTCTGCATCAGATCCCCCGCACTGTTTGCTTGGAGCGGTAAGGTGCGTGTTCCTCTCTCCATAAACCTTTTCTGAATGCCGTGTTAACAGTTGTAATTAATAGTGGACACCATTTGTTGGATGTATAGGATATAGCACACATTTTCTCATTGCAGCCTCCCTACAATACAAGAGGTGTGGCTTATGACTGCAATCAGTGCCGGGAGAATTGGTTCTCAGAATACATATTGACCCCAGGATTAGGATCAAAGCAAAGTCTGTCTGACCTAAGTCCGTGTTATTAACCACAAGCCAAACTTGTCTCTCAGGGGAGAAACAACCCTTGGAGACTTCTGGCAAGTCTCCAGGCTGCTTGCCTACTCTTTAGGACTTTGAGTCACTGAAGTCATGTTTGTACCACAGAACCTTCCTCAAGATCATGGTGAAGAACCAGAAGACAAGCTGCCTGATGCAAGCTATAACAAATACAAGCTTTCTCCATGGAGTCCTACTTTGTGTACTATAAGTGAGAGGATATGGGCCATTGTGTGGCAGCCTTTTTTAACCACCTCATCCCAGAACAGTCACAGAAAGTCTGCTGAGGAAAAGCATAGGCAAGTGTTCCAAAAAGCAAACACATAACAAGCAGAATGTCTGAGACAGGAAGGTGGTGGTACCGGGATCTGCAGACTTTTAGGACATTTGAGTAAAATTATACCATGAAGTTCAGAAATATATGTAGCTTCCTTCTAGTAAACTCTCTTTCTAACTACTTTGAAAAGGCATGTACTACTAAGAACTCAGAAGTCGTGGGGCCATGCTAAAGTCCCACTGTGGCTGAGTCACCGGTCACTCTTAGGGCTGAGGTCACACATGCTAGAGTTGCTGAGGATCTTGGAGTTACCAGCAGTCTCAAGTCACCTGCTCTAAGAAATGGCCCCTTGAGCTTAGAAAGAAGGACTAGGTAAGAGAAGAAAGAAGACAGAGGAGGGGAGAGTTTTATCAGTCTTCCTTCCTCTAAGGCACAGGTTCTCAACCTGTGGGCAGGGACCCTCTAGAGGGGGGTTTACATATCAGATATCCTCCATCTCAGCTATTCATCACAGCAGCAAGACAACAATTTTGAAGTAGCAATGAAGATAATTGTATGGTTGGGGCCACCACAACATGAGGAGGTGTATTAAAGGGTCACAGCTTTAGAAGGGTTGAGAACCCCTGTTCTAAAAGGAGGAAGCAGCAAAAGAACGTAAACAGAGCTATAAAAATTCTGTCCTTTCCTGTCAATTTTACCTGAAATATGTGTGTTTACAATCACATATTTATATTAATATGTGTGTTAATATTTGATCAACATTAGGTAGCAGAGTAGTATTTTATTTGATTTAAAAACAAAAAGGCCAAGCCAGCAATCTCTGCTGGAGCAGGCCAGAGGCAATGACTCCCACAAGAGCAGGTACAAGGGAGCCACTGCTGAGGGAGCAGGCCTGACCCAAAGACCTCTGCAAGACTTGGTGTAAATCAGTGACCTCTGAGATAGCAGGACTGAGCCAGTGACCTCTGCCAGTGATACCAGTCTTGGGCATAAACCAAAAGGATACTCAATCATATGTACGTAGTGTCATTATTTGTAATAGCCAGAACCTGGAACAACCTAGATGCCCCTCATTTGAAGAATGAATTTTTTTAAAAATGTGGTACATTTATATAATGGAATATTATTTAGCTGTGAAAAACAATGACATCATGAAATTTGCAGGCAAATGAATGGAACTAGAAAAAAAAATCATCCTGAGTGAGGTAACCCAGACTCAGAAAGACAAACATTGGTATCTACTCACTCATAAATGCATAGATACTAGACGTAAAGCAAAGGATAACCAGATTATAGCCCACAGTTCCAGAAGCTAGGTAACAAAGAGACCCCTAAAGAGGGACACATGGATCACCATGGGAAGGGAAAATAGATGGGATCCCCTGAGTAGACTGGCAGGGGGAGCAGAAAAGGGGAGGGAATGGGGAATGAGAACATGAGGGAACTGCACGGTCGGTCGAGTTGGGGAAGGGACAGTGTGGGAAACCAATGAAAGAGATATCTTGATAGAGGAAGCTATTATGGGATTAGGGAGAAACCTGGTTCTAGGGAAATTCCTAGGAATCCACAAGGATGACCTCAGCTAAGACCTTATCAATAGCAGAGGGGGTGCCTGGAATACCCTTCCCCTGTAATCAGGTTGTGACTACCCTGTCATCATAAAGCCTTCATCCAGTAACTGATGGAAGCAGATGCAGAGATGCATAGCCAAGCACCATACTGAGCTCCAGGAGTTCAGTCAAAGAAAGAGAAGAGGAGTTATATAAGCAAGGGGGTTCAAGATCATGACAGGAAAACCTACAGAGACAGCCAAACCAAATTCGTGGGAACTCATGAACTCTAGACCGACAGCTATGGAGCCTGCATGGGATGGAACTAGGAACTCTGCATGTGGGTGACAGTTGTGTAGCCTGGTCTGTTTGAAGATCCCCTGGCGGTGAATCCAGGATTTATCCCTGGTGCATAAACTGGCTTTTTTGGAAACCATTTGCTATGGTGGGATGCCTTGTTCAGCCTTGATGCTGGGGGGAGAGGAAGGGTGGCTTGGTCCTGCCTCAACTCAATATGCCAGGTTTTGTTGACTCCCCATGGGAGGCCTTACCCTTTGGAAGGAGTGAATAGGAGGTAGAGCAGAAGGAGGGGTAGGAGGGGGAACTGTGATTGGTATGAAAAATGGATTAAAAGAAATCCCAGGTGGCGGCGGCACATACCTTTAATCCCAGCACTCAGGAGGCAGAGGCAGGTGGATCTCTGTGAGTTCGAGGTCAGCCTGGTCTACAAGAGCTAGTCCCAGGACAGGCACCAAAGCTACACAGAGAAACCCTGTCTTAAAAAAAATCCAAAATAATAATAATAATAATAATAATAATAATAATAATAATAATAATGAGAAGGAGAGGTAAAGTCCAGGCCAAGCTGTGGGCTGAGCTCCTGTGAAGTCCTCAGCTGACACTGGCCAGCCTTGTTTTTCAAGGTTCCAACAGACCTTAGAAAAAAATAGAACTCTCTGTTCTTAGCAATCGAAACTATAACAATATTGAAAAATGTACTGTTAACAGACCAAGTATTTTGTGAACTTCAGTGGGGAAAAAAGGCTGAGCAGATTTCATTTTGTGGAGAAACGTGAGGAGACGAAATCAAAAGTGTAGAGCCCTCCACAAGAATATAAGATGGCTCTCACCAGGGTTGGCCCAGGAGTAACACCAAACACAGAACCAAGTGATGCAAAGAACAGACGCTAGTGTGGGATCGGGAAGAGAGCCTGTGGAATGCTGGAAAATCAGGCTCCTCATCCACATCCCCAGACCCCTCAGCCTGTGTTCTGCTCTCGGTAGAAAAGTTGGTTACCTCCCTCAAGAAGCCTGGACTGACATCTGCTGTAGACATGAGCAGAAGCCAAACAAGGAAAAGTATGAGTTCCTGGCAGGGAACTCTGTGGGACAACTTCCCTGTTGTGAGCAGCTTACTACAAACTTGGGGACTGGAACCAACACATTTATTATAAAGTATAGAAGAGGCTGATGATACTTCCGAGGTGACATCATGAAAGACTGGTTTCCATCTCACCTGCCTTCTCTTGCTACCTTGCTGGGCTTGCTGCTGTCTCTTGCTGGTTTGCTCAGAGGGAAGGTGGCTTGCCTGGCTGTGAACTGCTCTATCCAGAGGCTCATGTTGAATAGAAACCGAGGGAGGTCTCTCACCAACAGCTGTCTAGAGGCCCTCCTCAACAATGTATAAGGAAAGGGATTCAGTCAGCATTTATACTACTTAGCAGAAGACCCTCCCTAACCTGTGCATACAGAGGAGACGGCAGATTTTTTCAGCAGCTTGTGGGAAGCTGCTAAGCAGAGGCCACCAAGCTAACCCTTGGTAAGACACCTGGCCTGCAGGATCTGTGATGTATAATGAGTTCCTTATTGCAGCAATCACTGCGGAGGGAACTGTTAAACAGCAGCAGACAGCAAATACAGCCCCAAATGAACAAACAGAAGCTGCCGTGAGAAGCAAGGGTCATTCCGGCAGCTGAGACCCACGGTCTTCAGATTAAGAGCCACACAGCAAGCAGGCTGCCATGGCAATGAAGCAATTGGATAGAAAAAGAAGACTTGGAAGTCCAGCATAATTGCTAAATTCTACAAGTCAATGAATGTCAAAACCTGTAAGTCAGACCTAGCTGATAAATCTGAGCAGGCAGAGACCAAGAATAATACAACAGGCTATCTGCA